GAGTACTATAAAGTCGGGGGATGGCAGGCTAGCTCCAAAAGTGAGGCAGCTCTCTCAAGGTACTGGACCGGATCTAAAGCATCCATATAAACTAATTAAACCTAACTTCGGCAATCTCCATATATTCAGTCCATTTCTCCCCAGGCAGCAGCATTGTGCTTTCAAACAGAATTCAAAGGGTTAATAACAGCCGGCCATAGAGCCTTGTTTTCCACGCTAACATTTGTGGCACTAGGACTATTTTGTTAACTAGGTATATGCAATTCACAGAATTTCACGGTAAATTCCCCAGACCAAATATTTGGCTGAACAAATAAACAACATTATCCATTCCTGAAAATAAGCCAGTAGAAAGAGGGGGAGGTAGGCTGGGGGAGTGTTTGCTAGAAAGTGACCTGAACTGGACAGCCACCAGGCCAGGATCATTGGTTCAAGTGCCTGAGATCTGGGGCTCCCTTTCAATGACACAAAGTATCTCAGAAAGTCGCTGAAAACTCAGACAAGGTAAAATGAGGCCGCCTGAGGGAAACCCATAATGGGCTTCCCCTAAACGATTTATTCAAGCTCCATACCATTAATCAAAGGGGCAGCGACCTAGGGGGCTGGAGCAGTGGGGGGAGGATCCCACTTTGCTGGGCATTTGGAGGAACTGCAGTCTCACAGCCTTTGCCTGGGGCTCTGATCTCCTCTCTCCACCTGTGCTCTCCAGGGAGCTGGGGCTTTGGCAACCACCCCACTTCTATTTTTATTGGTTTTCACTGAGCTGCTCCTTTTGGAGGACTGTAGGACTTTAGTAATTAAAAACAAAAATGAGTCCTGCTTCATCCACCCCACTCCCAAAAGCACATGCACGACCGTGTGAACAAGAAGGCAATGGTGTGCACACAGCACACAGAAAAAACCACTAAGCATGTGCTTCTCCCGGTGACACCAACGCTACCATGACTACTCCCCCCACTTCACTTCTCTTGGTCCTTTCCAAAGGACTACACCAAGACCCCCACTGCTTCTACCCCAAACCCATCCAAGACTACCAGAGAAAATGCACATATAAGAAATGAACCTGGGGGCCTAGAGAGATGGCTCAGCTGTTAAGAGCACTGACTGCTCTTGCAGAGGACCAGAACCCACATGACAGCTAACAATTGTCCATAACTACAGTTCTGGAGATCTGATACCTTCCTCTGACATGGGTGCACTTATATACATGCAGGCAATATGCTCATACACATAAAATAAAAATAATAAATAAAAATTTTTTAAAAAAGAAAGAAATGAGCCTGAACAGACCAGGATTTAACTGCTGGTGCTAAGACAAAGGCTTCACCTTTACTTCCTACAACTATGTCCTTCCAGAAAGCTCTCCCTGTCCTTGACTAAGAGCCCACCACCACCACCTCCAAGCACATTAGTTATCACCCTTTTAAAAAAGATGGTCTCATGTATAGCGTGAAAGTTGCTACATAGCTGAACATGACCTTGAACTTCTGATCCTCTTGCCTCTACTGCCCCCGCCCCCCTGCCCCAGTGCTGAGATTATAGGTGTGTTGCACCACCTCTACCACCACACCCTGCCTTGGGCAGGATCAAACCCAGGGTTTCCTGCATGCTAACCGAGCACTCTGCCAACTGAGCTACATCTCCAACTTGGATCATTCTTTTTTAACTGTGGCTCCAAATTGGGCTTTGCCTTTAAAGAGCCCCATATGTAAATATGAGTTCCCCCAGATGGATCATAATCCAGTCCCAGAGGACGGTAAAAGAAGCAGCAGAAAAATCAAGAACTGGCATTTGACTCAAGAGATGCCATGAGACAGCAGAATGCTTTCACAGAGCTTACTTAAAACTCTTACCCTTTAGTATCTCACCCCATTGTCAATTCTCTTCCACAGCACAATGTCTGGATTCTGAATTTGACAAACACCTTCATGTGAGGAATGGGGACAAGAGAAAATAACCAAGTGACACTGGAGAATCCTACTTTGTGATGTTTAAAGAATGACCACTAAAGTTTTCCAAAGTCAGGCCCATTATTTGTTTTATTGGATAAAAACCCTGTTTTAAAAAAAAAAAAAAAAGGCTAAAACCAAAAAACTATTTGAAACACATACACCCACATTAATGTTTTGAGTGTGTGGATTGGTTTGGGATTGAAATACAAAGATGATGCCTGTCACAATTGGCGATACCCTGGGTTATCAAAAAGTAGAGGGGGGAATGAATTTTGTGGAGCTGAGACTTCTCCATCACATTGGACTGTGGCTATGACACACCCCCAAAGGTGAGCAAAAGCAAAGTACAAGAAGCCCCAAATTTTGTCTTTCATCTGACCTATTCCTTTCATCCCACTGTTTCTGCTGGGCATGTGTCATCCACATGGGAGAGGGTGCTGCGTCCTTGTTAACATTAAAAAGAAATGGAGAACAATTCATCTTGGCAATTAGCATCTCCCTCTGCCATCACTTTGCCCCTGTTCCTACAATTTGACCACTTCTGACTTCCACTCTACCCCAGTTCTACCTCTACAGAAAAGGGATGGGACAGAAAACAAGAGAAAAGAAAGAAAAAAGGCCATGATTTACCTTTAAAATAATGACTCATTTTATTTTTTTTAATACGTAGTTATAAATATATTTTGTCAAAATATATGATCAATATGGTCAAAACATTTGCACGTAAAGTCATAAATAAGGTCAAGGTGAATGTTTAGGTTTTTTTCCTTTTTTTTTTTAAAAGATAAAAGTCCAGCTATAAGGAAGCAGTCTGTGTTGTATGTGAGTAGGAATGTGTGTGTGCACGTGTGTGTACATGTTTGTGTGTTTATGTATATGTGGGTGTATGTGTGCATGTGTGTGTGTGTGTGTGTGTGTGTGTGTGTGTGTGTGTGTGTGTGTGTATCTGTCTTCCCTCAAGGGCTGCCTGATCTCAGCGGCACCCACATCCCTCAACCACCATCTCCTGATAATTTTTCAGTACCACCTTGTCATACTCATCTAGGTACAACATGGAGATGGCGCTCAGTTCAGTGGGGACACAACAGGCCTTGGGGATACTGGAATTGACAGAGTTGACCAGGGTTTGCACAATGGCATGGTTGGTTGAGTTGAGGTGGTCCGCCAGTGGAAAGGGACAGTCCCCATGGCAGTAGAAGGCCTGGTAGCCTGGTGGGGCCACAATCCAGTCATTCCAGCCCACATCACTGAAGTCCACATAGAGAGAATGGCGACGGCAGTTCTTATTCTTCTTCCTGGACCGCTGTGGGTGATGCTTGGGGCTACGTTTGGCCCTCCGGCGTCGGGTCAAGGCATTGCCCCGGCCATCATGGCCAAAAGTGACTAGGAGAGGCCGAAGCTGGGCCCAATCTCCACTCCCTTGAGGTAACGATCGGCTAATCCTGACATGCTGGCCCTGGTGGGTCCGTGTCTGGTGGAGGTGAGTCACCTCAATGGCCAGCCCATAATTGGGCTGCTTTTCCCGGGTCCAGCGAAGGACTGCAGGGCTCACGTCGAAAGTTTCCCACCGTGTCACATTGTGGTGGACTAGTCTGGTGTCCAGTAGTCGTGTGATAAGGTGCCCAGGCACCATTTCTGCTGGTGGTTTCATAACCTCATAAATGTTTATACGGTGGAAGCCCTGTTCCCAGTCAGGGCCCTGGTCCACCTGCTCCCGAAATAGCCGGAGCTCTGCAGAGGAGATCACCTCATTCTCTGGGATGCTGCTGAGGTTGAAGAGGAAACGAAATGCAGAGTTTTCACTGGTCCCTGGGATGTGCTCCAGATGTTCTAGGCACAGTTGAGGAGGAAAGGGAAAAAGAAAAAGCACATGAACTTTTCTGAGATGGAAAAGTCAAAAAAATAGATGAACTGGGCAGTGAGTGGTAAATTCCACTTATAGAGTAGAAGCCTAATTGGGGAAATAAGTGTGCCTTTTAATTTGAAGGAGCAGAGAAGTGGGACAGCTAGCAAACCAGCAAAACTTAGCTAGCATTTGTCAAGTACCAAAGACAAAGTATCTCCCAACCTCCTTTATATGCCTAATAATTTCCATGTGTCAACTCCTTTGCTCCACCACCCTTGGACTCCCCTTTTAAAACCCTGCTCTTGGCTTTGTGTACACAGTTTTCTTTACAAGTGGCTGTAAAGAAAAAGAGGGGCCAACAGAGCAGAGGCAGGAGGAGCCCTGCACACAGCCACCCTCTCCCTCTTCCCCTTTCGAGTATGTTACTAAACATTTCCCCAGCGATCTTGGAAACACAGAGCATGCCTTGTTGATCATGTTACAGAGGGGAAAATAAATTCCAACTCAGTAATGATGCTGGTGGATTAATAACTCAGATTTACTTTGGAAAAGAAACATCCGCTAGGAAACATTCAGATCCGATTACAAGGCCCCTATTGAATAAACCCGACAAACACACAGCTGTAATATTAAATTCAGTAGGTGCTTTGAACAAAACGGGCAGAAAACCCGGCAGAAAAGGCTTTGATACAGCGAAAACACACCGCTGGGGCTAGCCCACGTCTGAGTGGTGTCATTCCCCTCTGAACCCCTCCCCCTTGGTCTCCAGAAAGTACTTTCAGAGGCAGCTCTGGAAATTCTTGGAGGTAAGCGGCCCTGTTCCTCAGCCTCCCGGATTCGGGGCTTTGATGTAACCTGAACTCTTCTTCCCCAGGGCTTCCACAGCCCCTCCAGCTCGCCCTGCCCCTGCCAGCCCTCCCCCCACCAGAACTAGAGGCATAGACTGACCTTCGTGATGGAAACTCCTTACGGTGTTGGCCCGGCTGGCTGGACGCTCCGGGTACTCCAGACCAGTTCCCTGGATCTGCTCTTCCTCCTCCTCCTCCCCAGACTGGAGCCGGTAAAGATCCCGCATGTAATCCGGGATGACTGCGCTCTTGCTCGGCTGCGGACGGCGGCGCAGCCCGAACATCTGCAGAAGTGTCGCCTCGAAGTCCCGCAGGAGCTCATGGCTCTGCCCTGAGCGGCGTCCTCCCGCGTGGCCCTGAATCTCGGCGACTTTTTTCTTCCCGGTCTCAGGTATCAAACTAGCATGGCTCGAGCCTCCTAGCAGGACTTGGCATAATAAAACGACCATCAGCATTCGGTTACCAGGAATCATGGTGTCTCTGGGGAGGGGGAGGGGAGTGGAAGGTTAAAGAATAAATAAACAGCAATAAATAGCGAGAAATAGAGATGTCTCCGCATATGCATGTAGGGACAGCAATGGAGGGACAAGATGTAAAACAGGTCAGAGAGATCAAGTTTGTGTTTTCTCCCTCACACCCTCCCCACACACACCAGCTGCAGCCGTGCATGGCCTGAAAGTAGGAATTGCCCTGTAATTACTTGGTCTAACTTGTTTACAGTCAAATAACCCCAAATCAGATAGCCTCCATCCTGTTCATCTTTTTTTGTCCCAACTCCTATCTGAGCCATGATCTCAGCCTGGCTTCTTCAAGGATAAACAGTTAACATTGAGGGGGTAAAAAGGAGTGGGGGAGGGAGAATTAAAATGCCATCGCTCTTCACTTCAGACTTTTAGCCTCTCTCTTCTTCCTCCACACCCCCACCCCTCGCCCTTCCTCTTCCCTGGAGCCCAACTTCCACAACTTCCAGCTGGTTAGGAGCTGAAGGGAGAGCAGAGCAGCACCCACAGGGCGAAGACTGGGCGGCAGGGTCCAGCGGCCGAGAAGGGAGTCTGGGGGCTGCCCCGGTGACTTTGAGGTTTATTTCACTGTGGCCGATGCTTTGGAAATGCTCAGGCAAAAAAACAAACAACAACAAAAAACAACAACAAAAAAAAACCCTACAGAAGCTAAAAAAAAAAAAAAAAAAAAAAACCCCAAAAAAAAAAAAAAAAAAAAAAAAAAACCACCTCAGTTGCTCCTGGGGAAAGGATGGGGGATGATTCCGAGGCGAACACAGGCTTTTTGACAACAGACTAAGAACGCACCACCCGGCACTGGGAGCTTCCCAGACAAGTGGGACCCAGCCTGGAAGGGAGTGGTTAGCCCTCCTGGGACAACCCCGGGCCGCGGACCTTTCATTTCTCTGGTCCCCTTGAGCTCCCCCTTTCTTGCAACGCAGCGGATCTCAGAAGGCATAGGGGGGCTAGCAGCACTTTAAAAAGGAGCCGGGGCGCTTCGAGCGTCTGGCCTGCAGGAGCCAGGAAGGGAGCGACAGCGCTGCCAGACAGCGGAGCGTGGACGGTGGAAGGGAGGTCCGACGGGAGGGACAGACAGCGATGGGGTGAGAGGACAGAGCGAAATCCCGGGAGGGGGAAAGGAAGAGGTGTCTACTCACTGACAGAAAACAAGGCATATAATAACAGTCCATGATTCTTGACAGCCAATCTTGAACAAACTTGCTGGAAAGGTTCAGAGAAGCTGCGGCAGTGTGTTGCTCGGAATGGCACTACAGAATGGCTCCTAAAATGAATATTTGAATATAATGAGACTCTGGCGCAGACAGGCTCTGTTTTTCTTCCAGCCCCTCGAGGTCACGTGGACGCATAGGTCCCGCCCCGCTCGCCCGCCCCTCCTCCACCCCGCTCGGTTCCGCCCCTCCGACAAAGGCCAACCTCCGCGCCCGCCCCCGAGCCTCCGCGGTCAGGGAGGAGTCCCCGCCGCGCTTGGCGGAACCCTCTGAGGGACACCGGCCACCAGCGTGGTCCTTGGCCGTGGGCGCTGCGCGCAGGGGACCTGGGGTTCTCCTCTGCCTGCGGCGCGCGGAGTGTCTATCCAGGCCCTCCGCATCGGCCGTCTAAAGCAAAAGACTCTGGGGCGCACCGTAGAGGCTGAGCTTTGCAGCGCCGACCACGATCTGGTGGGGCCAGGAGTGGGGACCACAGTCTAAGCTTGCCCAAAGCCTCTCCGCCCAGAGGCACTTGAAAAGGAAAGCGCCTAGGGACCCAGCACACACACACACACACACACACACACACACACACACACACGCATGCACACACGCACTTCCTCCTCAAGGTCTCGGAAAGGCCAGATAATGCTCCTAGTGTAGGGCCGCCGACCCCCGGAGAAGGTCTGCGAATGCTCAGCGCAGAGGATCTAGCCCCCAGCCAGCAGTGGCTGACCCTGTCGTGAACGTGGCCGGGATCGGGGTGTCAGGGAGTGATCGGTGTGGGAAAGTTAGAAGGAGCGGCTTCTAGAGTTGTTTGAGGTACAGTCCCCGAGAATCCCCGCACCGTGTGGGCCGCAGTGGCCCCTCCAGCCAAGCAGATCCTCCAGAAACCGGTCGGCGGGGTCATTCAAGGCAGAGTGGCGGCCTCCTGGACTCCAAACTCCGGACAGATTCCGAAATAGGAGTCGCCGAAGAAAAAGGCGCATTACATTTTTTTTTTTCCAGATCTCAGTATCGCCAAGGTTTACAACTCCGACCCGGCGCAGAAAGGAAATCCCAACACGTTCCCAGGAGTCTAGAAAACCGGGAACAGCTTTCGGCCTGCACTCGACCTCTGCGAAAGAGTCTCTCTCCTCCTGGCTTGGCTTACTTTTTAAACCACCACACTCCTCCCCCCGCCACTTCCTTCCCCCACCCCTTTCCTCCTTTGCACCAGCTGCAGAATCGCAGCAAATATTCCTTCAAGAAGTTCACCAGCCCACAGCTCGGGCAACGACTGGGGTGACCCGACTAACAGACGATTACACACGCGTGGGCCTGTTCCAAACCTGGGCAAGCGCGACTCTGCGTTTCAGCCAGGTCGGTGGCCAAGCCGCTCCCAGGACCTGAGTCCCGGGACTCCCGCCCCAGAGCCCACTCCACCCGGCTCCTTTCCGGAGTCGGTTCCCAGTTTCCCCCTCGGAGCGCTTCGAAACTCGCCGCTCGGGTTGGCTTCCAAGACCCTCATCCCAACTCAGTTTTCTTGCCGGGGGTGGGGGGACATTTGCGGGAAACCTTTGAAAAACAAAAGGCGTAAAGGATGGAGCCCAGCCTGTCCTTGAGGCCACCGCTGCCCGGCGCTGTCAGACGCGCCGGGTCCGGGTGCTGAGGCCGCCGAGCCCCTGCGCCACCGTCGGCTCGGGACACCATCCGCGCCGCTTTTCCAGTCCATTTCGCCTTTCCCCGACCCCTGCCTTCGCTGGGGCGAAATGGGAAAGAGCTGGAGATAGTAAAGCGTTTATTGATTTGTTAATGTTTTTTTCCCTCTCTCTAAGTGGGAAAAGGAGAACGAGGTGCGCTTGTGGCTGGTGCACGCGGGGCGAGGAGACAGTGGAAGGGGCGGCGCTCGGGATCCCAGGACAATCCTCCGCCCCTGGGACTCTCCCTGGGCGGCGCCGGGAGGGCTCTCAGAGTTAAAACCAAGTGAATGGGCGATGGAATTGTTTCTATTTCAGATTCACTAAGATCACGTTTTCCTTCCTAGATTTTTAACTTTAAAAAGAATCTAAAAGATAAGTTTCATCTCCAAGACTTTCTTGTCCGGAGGGAGTGCAGCTCGTGACGGTTGTCCGTCGTTCCCCTACCAGAATCTTCTCCCGACACCACAGTTTATTTTAATGGCAGCCTCAGTTTACCAAGTATATGCCTGTTGGGGTTTTAATGTCTCGCAAATCCTTCCGCCCATAAACCGCGATACTCGAAAACCATCAACCAAAGGTCCAGCTCTGGTGAAGTTTGCCAGGATCCAACAATCTCCAAGCTTTCTGGTGGGTCCGGGGCACCTAGCGCCAAGCAGAGACTCACTGGCCCTGCAACCCCGCAGCGCCTCCCCATCCGACACAGCGCGGCAGAAGATGTGTGGGGGTAGCTTTTTGCCATCCTGGCCATTGTCCATAGAACCTTACACCCACCCCCCACCCCCCAATACAAAATAAACAGCTAGAAGAGAGACCCTACGGATGCCCTAAGTCTAAGAAAATAGCTTGTGGAGAAGAAGGGTCCTGCAACTGTAGTTCACAGACTTTCTGGGATAGCCCGCCAGCTGGGGGCCAGGTTAGGTGACACTCCCTAGATGTGGGTCCCTCGATGCGGGTCCCTTGTGCACAGAGAGCACTCTAGAGCTCAGCAGGACTGCGTTCTCTGCCCTAGAACCAGCCCTGATCAGGTGTTCTCCGCCCACGTCTCTTTCAGCCCCCTTGGTACAGATTGAACTCGGGGCCAACTCCTTCCTCTCTGGTCCTTCTGCGTCCAAAGGGATCGCCACCGCCAGGCCTCCGGCAAAGCTTTCAGCCAATACCCCACAGTGCTTCCCGACTCCCCATCCCAGCATCTCCTCAAAGTGGAACTCGCCAGGGGCCACCTGAGAAGAAAGTGACTTGGGTAGAGGCAGTAACATATACGAAGGTGTCTTTCAGGGCCAGCATCCCACCCTTCAACACCACTCTTGGGGATGGAAGGGGGAATAGAGCACCTTTTGCCTCAGTTACAGCCTGGGTCCCCAGCTTCTCTCACGAAGGATGTGCCTCGCACCCTTCAGACTGGCGCCCCTAGCCGGGTAGCCCTTCTCACCATAGGTCCCTGCGGTAGCGGGCTCGCCAGCAGCAGCTCGTGGGGACCTCTGGACCGCTGCAGTGAACCTGGGCGAGGGCCACAGCCTGGGTCGCTGCAGGCTCGAGACGGCTCGGACAGGAATCCCATCAGGGACAGAGGCCGGATAATCCGGCGGGGCAGCCGCGGCGTCTCAGGCTAGGGTCCCTCAGCTCGGATGCCGAACTCACCTAGCTTCCGGGCCAGGCCTCGCGCTCCTTCCTTCCCACCCTCTTCCACTGTCCTCTCGCATCTACTCCTTCCTTCTCCTTCCCTCTCTCTCTTTCTTTCCTTCCTCCTCCTCTTCCCCAGCAGCCCCTCCCTTCTTCCCTCCTCCCTAGATCGCCTCCCTTTCTGAGGATGGGAGCCCCGCCCACATCCTCCCATCCAGCCGGCCGGCCTCGCCTGGCCAGGCAGGCCCGGGTTCCGGAAGCCTGCACAGCGCCCCAGCCCACAGTTACCAGCCTTGGCTAGGACACCGCTGCCTACCTCTCGGGCAGCGGCCAGGACTCACCTGGGGACCACGTGCAAGAGGTACTAGGAAGCATGCACCGACTAGTCGCTGTACCTTCCAAAAATACCCATGGGAGTCTGGGCTTCCCTGAATTTAGAGTAACTGCTGCTCAAACTGATGATTAAAACACTGAGTAATCACCATTTACCCCGAGTAATTAGAGATAATGAAACACCTCTAAAATCAGGTTATGGAGAAAGGAGCTGTTGGATTGGTTTAAAGGATGGCCTTCCATAAACTGTTAAAGGATATCCAAACGTTGAGAAACAGGCTGTGAACAGAGCTGTGAGCCCAAAAGAGATACCTCTTCAACTATTAAAAGGTGGCTTTCCTTCCAAAACGTTTTTTTAACGTGCATCCTGTGCAGCCTTGATGCTGACCCTCAGAGACACAGTCCCTTTAAACAGGCTGCCTTCCATCACTTACCAGGCCTAACCTTTTAGGGGACAGGGGTGGTGTGCACATAGGCCAGGCCCATGTTTTGACAATTAGAAAAGTGTGTTTATAGCTCTGAAGCCCTTTTCGGATCTGCCACAACAGTTATTTTTGCTGTTACTGTTTCTTTGTTTGTTTGGTTGGTTGGTTGGTTGGTTTGGGCTTTCCAAGAAGGTAGCAACCACAGAAGCAACTGCTTTTCAGGCCATAAGGAAGCAAGAAAAGGTGCCCTTTGGTCTGGTTTTTTTTGTTGTTGTTGTTTTTTGTTTTTTTGTTTTTTGTTTTTTTTTAAAGAAAGGAGATGAGGAATTGGTTCTTTCATAACAACAACAACAACAACAATAAAACTGCCAGTAATCATATTAGCAGGGAGGTGGAATGTGGTGGCTTTTAAACCTTCCCAAACAGGAACTAATTTCACACACTGCCTCTGAAGGAGCTGTGAGAGAACTATCAGCCCCATCTCTGTTTTACAAACAAGGAAGGGGAAAGACAGCCAGGTTAAAGGCACTTGCCCAAAGCCCTAAAGGAAATCACAGCCTGGGCTCTGGAGTCTTTAGCTAAAGCTTCAGGGCAGGATTGAAGCTAACAGCCCTAAGCGCCAGGTAACCTGGAGCTGTTCTGTTCTGGGTTTCTGTTCTCTGAGGTGGACATTATAGTCCCCTGTCAAGGCAAAGCATCCGGCCTTTACCGAAACAGACGGGTAGCTCATCTAATCTCTACATTTACACACCTTCGAAATTTAGAAAACAGGAACTACTTCCTGTAATCTATGGAACAGAGATTACGAAGGGTGGGGTAGAATGTGTTCAAGAAACTACCTGCAGAGCAGAACATCCTTCTTTTGCAGGCCTGGAGAGCAGCAATAGGAACAGATTGTGTGCCCTTGGCCAAGTCCTTTCATTCAACAAAAGATCTGTTCAGACAATCTCCAGGCCCCCTTTCAATTAGAAAACCCTTTTGCTATTTTATTGTAATTTTAGTAAACATGCATTTCTTTCATTTTTAAATCACTTCTAAGTCTACTCCCTCTAACAGCAGGGCAATAACACCAGCCAGAAAAGATGACTGAAAATGTACCTCCAGCTTCTAACATAGCCAAAATTACAATTAATTATTTAAAATAACAACACGAAATTAAAACTCCATTAAATAGTTACTAATGTCCCTCCTGGGGCATCAGGCTCTGTGCCCCAGAGATTCAGTGTTCACTTAGGCCCCTAAATTAATCTTTGTTGCTTCAATCATTAACAAAATGTGTTCCTTAATATTTAAACTCAGAAACAACAGTGATATGCTGTCCTTACTTAGAGCAGACCTTTTCCTTTAATGCTTTAGGTGTTTGTTTTTTCAGTCCCAAACATTTTTGGATGACAGCTATTATCTCATTTTGCTGAAATCTAGACAATAACGTGGCCATTGGCCCACCCATGAGTCTGTGAAAGCCAGTCTGGGAGTTTCTAATTAAGCCACCTGACATACCTTGTTTAGAGGCTGATATGGATCTCTAGGTGTGCGATGGGAAAACTCAGCTGCAATTCTCTTAGGACAGCTGTGCCTCTTTCCCCACATTTTAGACTGGGACAAACCACCCACCATTACCTACAATGACCCACTCCTCCTTTGCCTTTTGTCTATTTTCTTCTTTTTTCTTTCTGCCCCTCTCACTTATACCAAACAACAAATTATTTTTGCTTTAGTTTTTGAAGCAAGGTCTCACTGTGTAGCCCAGGCTGGCTTGAACTCACGGTCCTCTATCTAGTCTTGGCTGAAATTACCACCATACCAGGCCAATGAATACTCCTGTTTTACAAGTTATTTCACTTACAGTTTCAGGGCTGTTAAGCATCATTAAAAGATGGATACAAAGACATTGTGAAATAGGTAAGGGGTGTGCTTGATTGGAGCTTTATTCAAAGTTTATAAACTGCTAGGTATGGCAGTTATGGTATTACTAAATCCAGAATGCACCAAATAGGTTTAGGTCAGTAAAAGAATTTCTAATTCTGCAGACATGATCATCTTTGACTCTAGGTCCTTGATTAAGAATGACATCAAGTCTTCACCCCTTGCCACTTACATGTCTGTTGAAACTACAGAGAAGTACTTTGAAGGCATTCCTAGCCTCATTGCTAACTATTGGGGAACAGTAAGATAGATCAATTAAAAGTAGAATTAGGAGAGATCTTTGAAATTGACCTAGACCATTAGTTTTCCCGTATGAATATTTACCATATTTTCTTATCTGCTGTCTAGCCCTCAGAATAACCTTCTTCCACAGAATCTGTGGAATCTAAAACTTACAGAGTTTGCATAAATTGCACAAGATCACAGAGCTAGTAAGGGGTAGATCCAAAACTCCAGACCAGGTCAGCCTGTCTCTTCCTCCAGATACCTAGAACAGGACCCGCAGGAGTGTGGATTCCTGTGGTCACAACTTCTAGTTAAGCAAGACTTGTCCCAGCAGGTGTGTCCAACCTGCATCCCGTGGGTGGCATGCACCCCTGGATAACTATGAATGAGGCCCAACACACAAACTGTAAACTTACTTAAAACATTGTGTGAAATTTTTTTCACATTTCTTTTTTTTTTTTTTGTGCCTCGGTTGTATGATTCTCAAGCATGAACTTTACAGATCAGAAAGCTAGACATGTCTTCAGGGTTTTCCCAGGCCAAGGTGCCAGTTACTTCATCCTTGCAACCCAGGGTAGCCTCAGGGTAGCCTCAGACTTGCAGTGTTCCCCTGCTTCAGCTTCCCCAGTGCTGGAATTGTAGGCATGAGCCACCCTGCCTAGCCCTTCCCAAGTTCTTAGATGATAGAACAAAATAAAGAATGGAAACTCAGAAATCTTGTTTGTTCTTCACTTACAGCCCACTCTAAGTAAGACTTTCTGTGACCATCCCTGATGAAACGTTGATATCTTCAGAAAGAAGCTGATTACCTCTGTGGGTCAAGTTTCATTATAAAGATATAAGGACTAAACAGGCTTTCCATCAGTTTCTCAGGCCTCAGGATCTATAGTAGTTAATCTCTCATCAAGTTGCTTGCACTCCAATGCCTCAGTTTCCTCCTTTATAATATCAAAATAATTTTTGTTTCATATTGTTCTTATAAACATTAAGTGAATTAATAAAATAAAGTAGCAGACACAACAAAGTTCAATAAATATTAGCTATATTATTCTTACAAAGGTACTGATTAAATGAGCAAAACAATGTAAAGAGATACTTTGGTAAGGAGATTTATTTCAAGTTCATCATAAGATATATGCATTATGCAAATGTCATCATGAAACTCATTAATTTTTACAATTAATATGTCAATAATTATAATAAAAAGCTTTTGACAAGTTTTGTGAGGGAAAGGGTTATATCTCACATATTTTATTGTTTCTGGCACTGCAAACATTTTGGATATTTGCTGAATAAAGGCTCTTGTTTGCATGAATAGAGTTAACATTCACTGTGGTGGTGTGTCTGTGTAGCTCTAAGGAGATCATTCACAGCTGTCAGTCATGCCCACTGAGGTAGAGGGGGGAGGGGGAGGGGGGAGGGAAATGGGGAGAGGGAAGGGAAGAGAGGGAGAGGGAGGGGGAAGGGGAGGAGGAGGGGAAGAAACTAAAAATGGAATACTACATCAGTTAGTCTTTCTACATTCTGGAATACTCCTTTTAAAAATCCTTTAAGGGGCATGGTGGTGCACACCTTTAATCCCATCACTTGGAAGGCAGAGGCAGGCAGATCTCCGTGAGATGGTAGCCAGCCTAGTCTACATAGTGAGTTCCAGGCTACCTTGGAATTCAGCAATATTGAACATATGAAAGGTTGCTTCTGTATGCTAACATGTGTCATGGATTTGGAAACTGTTTTCCAGAAGAGGACTAAGATAGGTTCCTTGCACAATGAAGGATATTTAGCATCTGTCTGTTTGAGAGTTTTTCAAAAATACTGTCAGCTGTACTTTCCTAATTCTACAGCTGACACGCTGTTTAAAAAGTGAATTCTTGTCAAATATATGAAAATAATTAAAATGCTAGAATGTCTTTTCTCTCAGCTCACACAAACTTCTCAACAGCATTCTCTCCCTGGTTCACATGAACAGTGACCTGGACAAGAATGTGGTGTCACTAGAGGATCAGTTTTGGAAGCGGGGCATGCCCAGTCCTATATTGATGCCTGGCTGTCAAGTGAACTGTTGTGGTTTCTCCATTACATGTCAACTGTATAACGCCAACTAATATTCTTTCCCCAGTTTATACTGAAAGCTTTCTAGTCTTTCCCAAGGAAAACTTTGTCCAAAAAAAAGTGACCCAATAATT